GGAGGGGGGTGTTAGTTGGGGGAGGGGGGTGTTAGGTGGGGGAGGAGGGCGTTAGTTGGGGGAGGAGGGTGTTAGGTGGGGGAGATAATGCACCATCACTGACGTCCTGTCAACTGTCAGCGATATTTAGCACAGACTGTCAACCGTCTCTGGTACATGCCAATCATTTATTCAATCGCCCGTCACCAGCACTCACCAGGATGTTGCCTGTCAAAGCCGTCCCTGTCAACAGCTGGCACGATGATGACGTCAACGTCAGCCAGGATGTCAGCGACGCGTTTGTGCTGCAGTTTGTAGCCCGCCGTCAGGTGACGTGCCAGCCGCAGTGTCAGCTCTCGTCCTGCTGACTGACTGCCGTACAGCCCTCCTAGCACCACCACGCGACTCAGGCGGCCACTGTCAGCCTGTTACATTATATTGATTAAAAATATTTATAATGTAGTTATTTTATAACATTACATAATATTACTTTCAAGTACACAAATAAGTATCACATCATTAGACTATCTTATAATTATTGCCAGCCGGGCACAGTCAGCCTGTTACATTATATTAATTAACAATATTTATAATTTATTTACAAGTGAAGCAATGAAATAAAAGTAATGGTCTTATAAATATGTAATAAGAAATGGTCTTATAAATATGTAATAAGTAATGGTTTTATAAATATGTAATAAAAAATGGTCTTATAAATATGTAATAAGTAATGGTCTTATAAATATGTAGTAAGTAATGGTCTTATAAATATGTAATAAGTAATGGTCTGGTAAATAAATCAACTCCCGCCCAGTAGCCTGACTAACGCAAATATCATGCAAGATATTAGCACATATCAGCAAGATATCACCAAATCTCAAACTACAAATCTCTTGCTTTGAGAGGACAATAATAACACATACCAATTACAAAACATTAAGTTAATTACTACAGATGTGAAGCTAAATTCCCATGCAATGTTTCATCATTAGTTGCAATAGGTATATCACAATTAGTTACGACATATCATCATTAGTTGAGATTTTTCATCATTACCAACACCCACCTTGGGATCTCGGATGCGCAGAGCTCTCACTCTCACACTCCAGTCATTATCATTAGCTAAGAACTCTACGAGGTCTGGGTTGGAGTTCTCAAGTTCTGCCATGGCAGAGTCAAGGTCTGCATTGCTAAGGTAAGTCTGCGCCAGATTTGCTTTCAGACCAAAGTCTTCAATGGAAGACCACTGGGGCGAGTCATCAAGTGGTAGCGAGAAATTTAGTGAGACTGCATAGCCGTGCGGTACAGTCACGGTCTTTGTTGAAGATGCGTAGCTGGAGGTAAAAAGTTAATGAGTTGTGATACAGTGGTAAATATTATATATATATATATATATATTCCTTTAACAATATTGCAAAGATAAAACTGTAAGCAGATATCAATTATCAGGAAGACGGGTGAAAATAAATGAAGACTCGGTAAACCGCCGTGTACTGAAGTCAAGATCAACGTTCGATGGCATATACAATTAATATTAACACCAGCACTTAAAGCATTATTGAGGTCATGGGTGTGATGCAAAATTGTAGTCTGGTAAGCAGCAAGCTTGCAGGCAAATGAAGTCTAAACTACGTTGATTATGAGTTGATTATGGAGAATTAACGCGCTTCAACGTCACCCTGTTGCCTCCACAGTGAGGCTATGCAGATTAGGCGCGTAGATAAGGAGCCCGGTAAGGGATAAGGGGTAAGAGTAAGGGGTAAATTTAGGGATAAGAGTAAGGGGTAAATTTAGGGATAAGCCCTTGAAGGGCTAAGGAGTATAAGCGGAGCAGAGAGGAGGGCGCTGGCGTACCCTGGTGCCCTGACGGTCAGGGTATGGGGCCCAGGCTCGAGGAGCCTCCAGTAGTCGCCGGTGGCGGCGGTGGTGACAGTCTTGTCGATGCCCCCCACAGAGATGGTAGCGCCCCCCACAGGGTTGTTGTTGTGATCCTGCACGAACCCGTGTACGCCCGTGTGCACCTGCACGTGTTTATACATGTATGATGAACGCGTTCACCGTGTGCACCTGCAGGCATTAATGTATGCATGATGAACGTGTATGCCCGTGTGCACCTGCAGGCATTAATGTATGTATGATGAACGCGTTCAGCCGTTCACCGTGTTTCGCACTGCGAAATTATCCTATACTGGTCCTTTGCAAAGGTTATAATAATTAAGTAACTTCTCGTTTTGTAAGACAGCAAGCAGAGGTTTCAAGCAGACCAAAGCAGTGCTTGATATTTTCTCTCTGTTTGATGATTTGCTGTTCGTAATTTAGACACTCCATAGTCCGGCTGGTGGAGCGATCCTGCTTGGTATCCTTTTCCATGCTAGGTTGCTAGTAGGTCCTTTCCGCCGAGGTTTGAGTGGAGTATTTGTGCCATTTAAGATTTCGTTCATACATAATTTATCTGGCATTTATCAGATGTGTTTATTTCTCTAGGTTTTGCCCATGTATTCTTCGTTTGTTGGTTGTCGTAAAGCATTTGTTGACAGCAGGCCATTGGGTTTCTTGCCGTTTGAAGCTGCAGCATTCGAGTTAGCTGCGAACAGGATGCTTCAGCACAGGTAATACGATGCACGATATATCCCTTTATATTATTTATATTTATATATTATATAAAACTATATATTTACAGTGGGGGGAAATAAATATTCGTACACTTGAAAAATCGTATTTTAATGTATGTAAAAATTAGTATAGGTTGGCAGAATTTCTTCTTTCAAGCAGGTTTCATTGAAGACCAGAGAATTTGTTTTATTCGCAATTTTCTTATTAGTTTTTTCAATATATCGAACAATATTTTTAGTTTGAACTGGCAAATCGAAAATCAGGTTACCGATGGACATTTTTATTTCGTTAACGACGATTTTCCTGTTAAGTTTGTGTACTTACATACATTAAAATACGATTTTTCAAGTGTACGAATATTTATTTCCCCCCACTGTATATTATATTCAAACATATTATATAGTATAATATATGGGCTTGTTATCGCTTGCTTCTATAGCTGCCGCTATCATTTCTTCAGTATAAGAAGCAGTCGTTGCAAGTGTAGTAACGAGGTTTGTTCCGGTTGTGCATTTAGCTTGCTGTGTGTGCATGGCAGTTCCTGATGTTATCGAGCGCAGCCGATGAAGCTGAGTTATCAATTGGGTGACACTTCTAATGTTATCTCGAAGTTAATAATATATAAACTTTAGATTAAAGTTTCCTGCCTCTCAAAACATGCTAGAAGAGACGTACATTTTACAGCAAAGAACATTTCATCATGGACTTTTGTTAACGATTAGTTATGAGATGATTCGTGTAGTGACAATCTCAGGTCATGGCTTATAGTTCCAATATATATATTCCTAATAAATAGAACTATAATATATTCCTATAGTTTCAATAACCCAAAAGCCTAGGTTTTCTTCATATCTACCTACAAATGGCAAGACCCCCCACGCCCCCACCTGCTCGATAAGGCTGACGAGGGAGAGCTTGTTGGCCCCCCAGTAGCGGGGGAGGTCCGTGGCGGGGGGGAACTTGTAGCACGATACCTCCAGCGTCAGCTCCATGCAATCTGTCCAGTAAATAACCTTTATATAATAACTAGTGATTAAATAGTGATCATTTGTAACATGAAGATAAATTTGTACTTTTTATGTGCCACATACAAAGTCCATTATGAAAGTAGTGAGCATGATGTTATTGTGACGCGACGATAGATGGCAGCGCGGTCAAACAGGCTGGGGAATGTGGTGGGGGATATGCCCTTTCAGTGCATGCGGTCGCCAGTTGAGTTCGAACAGTATGAGCGGAGAAACGAGCCTCAGCGTGAAGTGTGTTTTCGACTTTCGTAACATAGCGCGATGGAGCGTTCGCTGGAACAACGATACGCCATAAAGTTTTGCGTGAGGCTTGGAAGAAATACAACCGAAACATTCCAGATGCTGCAAGAAGCCTTCAAGGATCACAAATCCTCAAGGATCATAAATCCAATGCATAAATGCAATGATCAAGGACGATTGCATTTCAAGATCACAATCTGGGAATTGGCACAAGGCGTTCAAGGAGGGCCGGGAGAAGGTCGCCGACGAACCCCGTTCAGGACGCCCAACAACAACCCAAACTGAAGAGAACATGGATCGTGTGCACGAAGTTTTGCGATCAAAACGATGATCATTGTCTTCTTTGACATCCGAGGAATAGTCCCTTGTGAGATTGTACCGCGAGGACAAACTGTAAACTCGGCATTTTCCACATCCAACGTACACCATGTTACAACGTTCCTGAGAGGCATTCCCGTCGAGGAGTTTCAGGATGCCTTTCAAGCGTGGCAAATAAGTCTCCGCAAGTGTATTGATGCAGGAGGAATGTATTGTGAAGAATATTAAATATTTGTAAAATTACGATCAATAAATGTTATTTGCGAGAAAGTGCTCATTACTTTCATAATGCACCCTGTAGTGACCTTTCATCACTCGTCCGTATGGCTGCACACGGCACTCACCCGTGTGGCTGCACACGGCACTCACCCGTGCGGCTGCACACGGCACTCACCCGTGTGGCTGCACACGGCACTCATCCGTATGGCTGCACACGGCACTCACCCTGTCTCTTATACACATCTAGATGTGTATAAGAGACAGGTATGAATGTACATCCAGTCCTGCATGCCCCCCGACACGGAGTACCAGCTGCACACGGCACTCACCCGTATGAATGTACATCCAGTCCTGCATGCCCCACGACACGGAGTACCAGCAGCACACGGCACTCACCCGTATGGATGTACATCCAGTCCTGCATGCCCCCCGACACGGAGTACCAGCGGGCGCCGTTGGTGATGCCCTCAGGGAAGACCTCGTCGCTGGCGGAGCACGGCTTGCCGAGGTGCATCGTGGGGTGCGCCTACAACCACACACAATATTGCCAATAATATTGAATAAATCATAAATAACGACATTAAATAATCTTAAACAGCGATATTAGATAATCATAAACAACTATATTAAATAAATCATAAACAATGATATTAAATAACAATAAAGAGAGTAACGTTACAATTCAAAGATACGTATGTTAATTTAGGTACCAATGTTTTTAAGTTAATTAATAAGAAGTTGCTTTAATGCTTGTCAACTGTACATCGGGACAGGCCTAAGAGAGATATAAATAATGTCAGCCTAAGATACGAAAATTACGTACGAGTAGCCCCCTAAAATAAGAGACTCACGTACGAGTAGCCCCTAAAATAAAGAGACTCACGTACGAGTAGCCCCCTAAAATAAAGAGACTCACGTACGAGTAGCCCCCTAAAATAAAGAGACTCACGTACGAGTAGCCCCCTAAAATAAGAGACTCACGTACGAGTACCGTAGCCCCTAAAATAAAGAGACTCACATACGAGTAGACCCTAAATTAAGACACTCACATAGGAGTAGACCTTGGCAAGGCGCCTGAAGGTCTGGTCGTCAGGGGCGGGGCTGTACAGACCACTCCTGCCCAGCTCGTTGTTGTCCCAGGGAAAGTTAGCGACCAGCGTCCCGCCGTGTAGGTTAGCAGACCCCACGAACTTGTGCTGCTTAGACCACTGCATCACTGCGAGCGTCTCTGGCTGCTGCACGCTGTTGAACTGTTCAACAGGGGAGAGAAATGATGTTGAACTGCTCAACAGGGGAGAGAAATGATGTTATACTGTTCCAACTGCTGCGAAAAATGATGTTTAACTGTTCCAACTGATGAGAGAAATGATGTTGAACTGTTCCAACAGGTGAGAGAAATGATGTTGAACTGTTCAACAGGGGAGAGAAATTATGTTGAATAGTTGTAGCAGACGAGAGTTACTCTCCTGGACGCAGTAGAACAGTTGAAATAAACGAGCGCTTTACAAGAAAGAGCGTTGTTGAACAGTCCAATCACCAAGCTCCCCATTCAATTCCCTACGAGAGGCCCAGCACTCACCCTCGTGCGCTCGTATTGATACGTAAGACCCCATTCAATTCCCTACGAGAGGCCCAGCACTCACCCTCGTGCGCTCGTATTGATACGTAAGACCCCATTTAATTCCCTACGAGAGGCCCAGCACTCACCCTCGTGCGCTCGTACTGGTCGGGAAAATTTCTGTTGAGGTCAAATCCGTTAGCGTTTGCTCTTCCCTGAACGCCTCCATAGTCGCCTGCAGTGAGAAAAAGGCAGTGTTAATAAGAGCAAAGATCTCTCAACAGTTTGACAAAGACATGTAATTTATCAATGTTAAGAAGAGCAAAGATCTCTTGACAGTTTGACAAAGACATCATTCTTCAACGTTAACAAGAGCAATCATCTTAAGCCAACAACAACAGGGATCTGGGAATGCTTGACTGAAGTGTAATATTTCAAACACACCGAAAAGGCTGTTTTTCAGCTTGCGAAGCGCGGCATGAGAAATAAATAAGTCAAAATCTCACCTTAAAAGACGAAACTATTGAAACGCCAAGGTAAGAATGCTCATTCCATTGTCAAGTTTTAAACCAATAATACCCCAAAAATATATAACCTGATGCCCAGTCCCATGAAGATTACGGTAGGTATATGCAAAAATAAACTTGTTCGAGATATTATTCGCATATTACCAAAAGTTCAGCTCAGGGTTGGCAATGATTAAATCAAAATGATTAAATCATGTGATTAAATCACTTGATTTTTTTATAAAAAAAAGCATGATTTTTTTTATTTTTTCGATTTTTTTTATTTTTTCATATATTTAAATTAATTGAGTGGCAGTCTTTAATTGTTATTCATGGTTTAGGTATTGTTATTCATGGTTTAGTATAAATGTACTATAAATGACAAATTGGTATATAAACTTGTTGCCTTTAGTGTGTATTAGGTTCCAATAAATTGAATGTTTTTGGTACAGAGGCATCAAGCTGTCTCTTATACACATCTAGATGTGTATAAGAGACAGATCTACAGTCACTACTAGTCGGTGTGTATAGAGGGTAGAGTCTGGTAGATTTTTAGGACATAAAACTAGTGGATCTATTGATAGTGCTGTGCACTGTGCTATCAGCTAACTATCTGTTATGTGACTCTTAAATTTTTAGCAGATCTGCATTCCTGAAGTGTTTTTGTATATTGAAGCCAGTTAAATGGTCAATATTTAGCTCATTACCTTGCTCCATACAAACTTTACAAAGCTAATGAATAGACATAGTGCCAATAATTGTTTACCCAAAAATCCCTAAGTGGTAAACACCACCTTGGCCTGTTGGCCATTATTGAAGGCAATAAGTGCCCTTTTTAGCCATCCATTATGATCCATATACTGTTATTGTTAGTAGGCTAATTGCAACATAAAAAATAACACATCAAAACGACAAAAAAGTTGAAAAAATAAAAAAAATCAAATAAATCAAAAAAATCGTGAAAAAATAAAAAAAATCATTGATTTTTTTATTTTTTTTGATTTATTTTAAAAAATCAAAAAAAAAAAAATCGCCAACCCTGGTTCAGCTAAATAATAATAGCATTGATTACGCTCTCATTTTGATAAAACAGCGCTAAATCCCCGTTTTTTCGACGTCAGCTGCCTGGTATGTGGCGACACCAAACTAACAACAAATAATTTTGTTTTATTAACCTTCCTGAGACACCTCGAAGCCATCAGGGTTCATGGAGGGCATGATGTGCAGCCTGGTGGTGTTGATGAGGGCGGTGAGACGCTCGCTGACGCCGTAGCCCTCCAGCAGGTACTGCCCCAGCAGCAGCAGCAGCTCTCGCCCCACAGCTTCGTTGCCGTGCATGTTGCCGATGTACTTGAACTCAGGCTCACCTGAACAATATTTATTCATGAATACATGCTGGTACACTTGGCAGGACAGGACAGTGAATACTATTACACAATAGAGAATTCTAAGTCCGGCTCGCCTGTACCATATTTACTCATGAATACATGCTGGTACAATTTGAATTCAGTTCAGTTAATAAAGATAATATACAGAAAAAAAAGTAATACAGTAAATACTAAAATGAGTTAATATCTGAAGTAGTATTAGGTGTGCTAGGTTCTTACCACGAGAAAGAAAAGTTAAGGGTATTCAGCATACACAGGCTTTGGCTTTGGTGGATATATTGTATATAATGGATATAGAGGATATGGTGGACATATTGTATATAATGGATATAGAGGATATGGTGGACATATTGTATATAATGGATATAGAGGATATGGTGGACATATTGTATATAATGGATATAGAGGATATGGTGGACATATTGTATATAATGGATATAGAGGATATGGTGGACATATTGTATATAATGGATATAGAGGATATGGTGGACATATTGTATATAATGGATATAGAGGATATGGTGGACATATTGTATATAATGGATATAGAGGATATGGTNCTCATGCTGCCCAGGGTTGTCAGAGATGTTACTCAGCATTACAACAGACCAGGCTCATGTTGCCCAGGGTTGTCAGAGATCTCGAGGACGTAAAGCTCTCTGCCCTGGACGCTCTGGCCGACGCTGTAGAGCTTCGTCAGGTGAGGGTAGCGCTGCACCAGGGCCTTGAGGGTGGCCTCTAGCTCCGGGTAGCGGTGGTACCTGCAACAAATAATACCAAAGATGATAATAATAATAATAAATAATAATAATAATAATTACAATAAATAATAATAAAATAATAGCAATTATAATAATTTAATACATGTTGAAGGAATGATTGAAACTTTAGGTTTGTCATCTAACATCATTCATCGTTCCAGACTCTGGACAGAATTATTGAAGAATGGCACAGCTAAGAACATCAACAAACGTATGAATAAAAATCTTAATAATTGTATACATATTTTAGTGTCAACTCACGGCAGAATCTAGACATTTATCCACGTGAGATGATTCAAAACAAAATATATTTCAGTATTTCTTCTTTTTGTTTCTATTGACTCAACAATAGTATGTCTCGATCTTTACGGCGCTCCAAACACAATAATGATATTGTGAAGTTATTTATGAATATCACACTAATGATATTCTTACCGGAAGTCAGGTGGGGTGGTGAAGCCCTCGTGCTCGGGGAGGCTGGGGGACCATGTGTCCCCGTGGGGAAGTTGGTGGGGGACGCCCCGCACCTCAACAGCAGCAGAGCCTTCGAGCTCTCGACCTGACGTTGCCAGCATTGAATTTAAAGAACATTTTATCAATGTAATGTGTACACAGCGAGTTTGAGGGTACAAACACAATATAAAATAACCTAAAATGAAAAATACATATAAAATAAATAGAAATTAAAAATGTGTGAAGTTAGGCTGCAGCAATGAGTGTGCTAGGATAAAATACTTGTAAAACTGTAATTGGCATTAAATTTTTTGAAAATCTATACCAATTACTAATTTCTGCAGTTTCAAAATTATGATTATGCCAGGCAATCCAATCTAAAATATTTAGGCTAGAGCGAAATAAAGTTTTAGAATGATAAACCCATTATTGAGGCTACTTTAAACAGCGGATATAGAATAAACAGGCATTTAAAAAAATGCCTGTTATCTCCCACCTAAACACCTAACTCCCACCCTGAATTTGCCACCTCTCTATTCCACATTAGCATTCAGGTCATTAGACACATACTGCGTTGCAACCACTGGTTAACTGCAGGTGCTTTTATCGTTTTTTAGGTGGTAGCAAGTTGTCAAGCAATAAAAAAATGAAGAAAACCGCAATTTAATTCACAATACTTCCGCTAAAAACGTCAAGAGACCATTTCTACCATCAGTTCAACCTAATTCTGCTGAACTGATGATGAAGATAGTCTACAGAATGCGAACGCTTCTGCTGAAGTTAAATTTACATGAAGTTTTCTTTACTTGTAAATCCTATGTTAACCAGCATGTAGTCGCAGACCTGAAGATAGTGTGTGCAGTTTCACACCCTGAATAGTACCCTATTTATATACCCTAATAGTACCCTATTTATATACCCTAATAGTACCCTATTTGTATAGTACCCTAATAGTACCTATTTGTATACCCTAATAGTACCCTATTGTATACCCTAATAGTACCCTATTTATATACTACCCTAATAGTACTCTATTGTATACCCTAATAGTAGGTACCTACCCTATTTATATACTAGCCTAATGGTACCCTATTATATACTACACTAATAGTACACTATTTGTATACCCACCATACCATATTTATATACTCACCGTACCCTATTTGTATACCCTAATATTACCCTATTTATATACCCACCAGCAGCATCTCTCTCCAGCAGAATATTGATGACACTGGGCTGGCCTTCCTTGATCTCAATGAGCTCTTCGTGTGGCTTGTACCTGTGAGGTTGCAAAGTTCATGTGGACTTTGTTGAGAGATTCTCGTCAAGCTTTGCTAAATAAAGCAATATATTAAAAGGAATGTGAGATCAATATCTGAATCGAAATATTTTCAACATTAAAGATTTAATAGCTGTTGAAGGAATTTTTGAAACTTCTATAACATGAGTATAACATTCAGAAAATGGTTATTATAAAATGAGGTAATTCAAAATCATCAGGTTGGAGTTGTTTCTGAACATTAATAAAAAACATACAAACTTGTACTCCTTACTCAATGTTTACATTTATCCAGCTACCAATTCGAAAAGCTTATCAACAAAAATTCAACTGGATGAATTTGTAAGTCAATAGGTAGTGATTGGGAGAAAGCCACAAAAAACAAAACACCAGTTATAATATCATTAACATACCTTGTGAAATGCTACAGAAAAATGATCAGAAAAATGATACCACTGTACGCACCCATTAAGTTCAGCGTAGAGGGTGTAGTTGCCGGGCAGCAACAGGCGCCAGTACTCCCCCCTCTTGCTGGTCAGGACGGTGTGGTTAACAGAGCGCACACCGACACGTACGCCTTCCAGGCCCACCTTATCTTTGCTGTCACGAACTATCCCTGGATAATAAAAATTTCATGGTGACATCCATTACCTTTGTATCAAATGATTAAATAAATCAAATAACACTATTTTTTCTCTAAGTCCTTTATTTGTGTCCACCAAACACAATTTTTTTGTGACACAAGTTCCCTCCATAATATCTGAGGTCAATCTCAGTAAAACCGTAATTATTCTAAAATAAGTTTTTAGTTCAGTCATATGTCTGTGATGTTGACTAATCTGGATGAACGAGTTTACATGTATTATGCAATACAAATAATGAAAAATGAAGATTGTCAATTCAATTTCTCATTTACTAGACAAGCAATAAAGGATTGATACAAAGACTAAACCATTTATTGCAATTTGCTTTCAAGTATTTAAGTAGTTGATAAACATGCTAGCTGTATGAAATTTTGATGTAAATTGAATACATTAACAGGAAGTGAATTATACTACTCCAACAGCAAGTAGCATTAGATGACAACACAGATATTGACTGATGACCATAACTGATGGATAATCAAACTAAATCCATATTACTTTTAATAACACATAGCACTAGTTTCTCAAAGCTACACTTTTGACGCAGATTTTAACTCTTCACTTAAATATGAGCCAATCACTGAGAACATCACCTCATGGCTACTAAGAGCCAATCACTGAGCACCTCACCTCAAGGCTAATAAGAGCCAATCACTGAGAACATCACCTCAAGGCTAATAAGAGCCAATCACTGAGCACCTCACCTCAAGGCTAATAAGAGCCAATCATTGTGATTGAGAACTTAACTTCAATGCTTATATGTGCCAACAAATATCAACTAACCTTTAACACCGATGTGCACCTGCTCCATGTATGCGAGGAGAGCTTCCCTGTTGTTGTCCCACTCCTCCTGTAGGTGGTCTGCAGTAGGGTACTTGCAGCAGGATAACTCAAAGGTCACTTCAAAGCACGACCCGAACATGTAGTTGAAGTCCTCCATGCCTCCTGTAAGTTGTTGTTTTACTAACAAATATCTATTGGAATATTCATCACTATCATCCTGCATCACGAACAACAATCAAGCATAAAAATATATTCTTTCTATAGCAAACTGAAAAACAAAAATTTTGGCTTGTGATCGGAAACAATGAGCATCTAGAATTTTCTATTGACTATAAATTAATCTGGCAATTTAATGTCATATAGATTAATTCAATAATATTATTTTTTAATATTTGAACTCTCCAGAAGGGAAAAAGATGTGTTTCACTTACCAGGCACATCATACCAGTGAGCACCATTGGTTATGTGCATCACTTACCAGGCACATCATACCAGTGAGCACCATTGGTTATGCCACCAGGAAAATTATCACCATTGCAGTCAGTCTTTGAGGCCATGAAGGCATGGTTATTGGCATAGGTCCTGGCCAGGTGCTTGAACACTTCATCGTCAGGAGCTGCACTGTAATAGCCTGTTGGCTGGTGAGACCTGCATGGGTAAAATAGTGTAGAATTGTATTCATACACGTAGCATAAATGTGCATGTGTAACTAGAGTAACTAACAGGTCAACCTTCCAGTTTAATCTGGTATAACTTATTTTATACATTTTTGGGACTCATGATGGAGCTGGTCTCCATATTTTCACTGAAGATAATGTGAATTTAATTTGCATTTTCTTTGCTTTTAAATTATAGCTTAATGTGTAATTCAAGCAGACTAATTATATACATCTTTTATAATGGATGTCATCCAATTAGTATTTGATGGATTAACTTTAAAGCTAAATACTAAATTCAAAGACACATCACCTTATAATAAAAACAGATTTATATGAATACAAAAGCAATAGTATTAAATATAATAACATTAATATGTGCAAGAGGTTATGCATGCATCATTACAATAAAATTAAACCATTCTGAGCAAAATTTAAATGTAAAATAAATATACGGTTTAGAATTTCACCAAGAACACTGCCTCTGCACTTTAAAGGTCAACCTTACCATCAAAATTTGTTATCAAATTCATGTAAAAAATTAAGTGAAGGAGTATGTATACATGGTATTGTTTCTACCTGCAGCTCAATTATAAGCTCAAATTATTGCAAAATCCAAATTGTTCACTTCTACAGTATCAAACAACAATTATCTGGGAGTTAATGAAGGAAATCATCATTTACTTTGAATCATCAAAAGGGTAGCTGGCAACCACAGAGCCACCATGGAGGTTGCCAGAGAGCACAAAAGGATTTGCCATAATCCAGGTCATAACAGCGGCTGTCTCGGGCTGCCGGCCCTCCAGCATAGCCCCAGAGTCCGTAGTTGCCAAGTCCAGCCATTGTGAAGGGAAGTCCCTATTCAGGTCCACATTATTGGAGTTTTCTCTGCCAAATCCAGGTGGGTTGTTGCATCGTCCTTCCTGGAATATTTATGACAAAAAAAAAATGGCAATAAAGTTTTACTTAGATTTAAATCATTTAATTCAGGCTCAAAATTTTTTTGAACACTGCTCCAGGATGATCATAAGACAATAATATTTATTAGCCATAACTAAGCACTGGATAAAGCATAGATTGAACAAGAGCAAATATTTTGTCCTGGGATCAATAGATGAAGAAAATCTAAGACAAATTAAGACCAATAAAAACTCAATATTGTATAGATGCTATAACTTCTAGAGTACAGGGCTCCTTCCTTGCTATTCATTCCCAGAATTCTTACCTTTGCCAGCTCAAAGCCGTCAGGGTTCATGGAAGGCATCAAATGGATCTCTGTTGTGTCCACCAGCTTTGTGACCCTATCATCTTTTCCATAGTTATTGAGCAGGTACTGAGCAAGATAGATGACCAGCTGACGTCCAATTGTTTCATCCCCATGCATGTTGGCCACATACTTGAACATTGGCTCACCAAGATCTCTGTTTGTGACATTATTGCTGATTTTGATCACCAAAAGTTCTCTGATTTTTACAGATTTTCCAGCACTATAGAAGTCAACTAGCTTTGGATAAGAAGACTTGAGAGATTTGGCAAGGCGGTACACATCGTCAGTGTTGAGGTACTTGCTGGTGTCTATGAGATCTTGTTTGGCTGGAGCTGATCTTGCCTTTCCAGTTGATGCCAGTGATGCAATGAGGCAAAGCACAAGGGCTGCATGTATCCCAATAGAATAATGCATGGTAGCTAATTTATGATATTAGCATGAACCAGACTTGCACATATTGGTCAGAAAATTCATGTAAAAATTAAAAAGGAATTTTCAGTCTAAAACTTCAAAGGAATAAAAAGCACGGTTGATCTGAAATAAATAGAATTCCAAAGTAACATTTTAATAAGTTTGCAGCTAGATCAAACAATTAGTTTACAATTAGATTATGATTCACACTAATGTGAAACAGAACCACTGTCTAAGCTGCAATTTGATTTTTAAAGCCTTAAATGTATCACTGTTTGAGCCATGAATTATTTTCCCAAGCTGCAGCATACCTAAATACAACCATGCAGGTATTGCAATTGCATCATTTCACCAAAATTACATTTTAAGTCCAAAATGTCGCTTGTAATATTGAGGATTTATTGCCAGATCTAATATCTCAATCTTCAAGATTTCTAGCCAAAAATTAATGTGAAGAGGCATTGTAAGATAAATGTGTTGAAGACAAATTTCTCACATAATTTTCTTAGTTTAGACCATTATTTTTTGGGCAATGCTTCATAAATTTCATCCATTTTCCTCAAATAGTGGGGTTATAGTTGAATAAAACACCCTGAGATAGGCCAAATTTCACTTTCTGGACCAACTCTAACCCAAGATTGGAAATTCTCTCTTTAATACAGAAATCTTGTGTCTCCTATGCATCATATGCTCCATACTTTGGAACCACACAACTCAATTGTGTACTTTTGTTGACAATCATAAACATAGGAGATATAATTCATCAGCAGGAATCTTGAGGCCCCAAAATAAGCAGGAGAGCCCTAGTTGTGGCTTAGAATGAGAAGTAAATATTGTCCATTCCTGCAATTGTAACTGCATTTTTTTGTTTTGAGCTTGTATTATATCATTTATATGTGTCCATTCATTTTGTCTAAGCCATTTTTTACCATGTACTAGGTATTTGTGATGGTTTTCCTTAAGAGGAGTGTCTGCCCTAAAATTTTGGATTTTGGCTTTTCTGGTTTCTAGTCTCATCTTAAAGCTGACATTCTGATCTATCCAACGGTACCAAAACCATCTCTGTACGTTGATTTATGCATTCACGACAGGTCATGAAAGGGAGCAGGGTGTGGGAGTTCTCTAACAAATAGAATGGGAGGAAATTAGCTGCCAAGCACTTTAAATAGTGTCTGCTTCAGCTGCAGCTCAGTTACCCGTCTGGCGTTGTACGAGGACGTGTGCATGCAGTCGTTCCCACCATCCTTGACTGGAATCAAGCTGCAGTAACATTTAGTTTCGTATCCTTGCTACATTGAGTGCCTATTGCAATACGGGCGGGAGGGACTTTGTCGCACTCTCCTGAACATTCGCACTTATTGTCATGGCAAACCTATCTCTTTGGCATGACCCATTTTGGAGCCGCGACATTTCTAATTCAATATATTTACCTGACTTTGGAGCCACGAGATTTAAAATTTACTTTAAAATGGGAGATCTCGGGCCGCAAAATGTCCATTAAAAGTAGATGTATTCCACCCCTGATTGGATGCCAATGTAAAGTCAAGTCTCGAGGTGGGTCAGGCCTCAGAGCTGATGAAGATCCTGCAAAGACGCCTATATCTTGAGCTGAAAATCCCTACTTTACAGCCTGGTGTCAGTAGTGTGACATATAGTATGGCTTCTAAAATCCAGTTTTAGCTTACAAAATGAAAAAAATATATTTTTACTGCGCTCTAAAAGAATCAAAGTAACAAACTCAGAAAAAAAAGCAGCATACTTTCCTTGTTTTTTAGAAATAGTTTAATCACAATTCACAACTAGGCTGAACTAGTAAAGGCATAAGCCTGGTTAAGCCATAAGCCCACAACCATAAGAGACAAGACAAGCTGTCAAGGTCACTGAGCACTGACTCTGTGACTCACTCAGTCACCGAGTCACTCACAGTCATTGTACAGTAACTTCTAAGTAATAAATGTGTGTACATCCAAGACATACAGTGATTTAAAAAACACAATCACTGAAACTAAATATAATCATTGCAATTCGTAAATAGGACCCACTCCCAGCGCCAAAGCAGGATCAACCCGTTGACCTGTCCTGTTCTGTTGCATTTGTTGAAGGTGGTGGTGGTGGTGGTGATTGGTGATTATTGGAGCTTCGAAGACTTGTCCATGTAGCTCCACAACTGTACGGGAGTATGTTGCAGACACAGCCACAGTAACTGTGGACAAATGAAGAGGATTGACAGCACAGAGCACTGCCAGCATTGCAACAGTAGCTAATCAATAATTTAAAAACGTGGGTGTATGTTCCAGTATCATCAATCAGGGAATATTTTGCTGAGGGCATTACGTGGGTCAATATATTTCAAAATCACATAATAATGATTATAAAACAAGTGCTATTCTACAGGGTGCGCCACAGAAACTTACTTATTTGAAAAAATTCCCGTGCGGTTAGTTGGTCGGGTAGAGGGGCGAGAGGAGGTGCATCTGAAGGGGAAAGTTCCCAAGTTTGTTTCTCAAAGTTTCTCAAATAAATTTGCTGTAGTGCAAGAATTAACTGAACGCAATTTTGTTTATGAAATGTTTTATGGTAAGAAGTTATTAACAAAAAATGCTCAAAACCGTCCCGAGTAGCCCCGGTTGATGGTATCTCAGGATCAATAACAGGAGCTTGCATGTGAACTTCTATTGCTGCTGAAGTTTGGTTTTTGAAATTAGGAAGCAAGTTGTTGTGAGGGAGATTGGCAGATATGTTGACTGTTTTAGGTTTAGTTCCACATTGTTGATTTTGCATTGTCTGGGCTGCCCGGCTGGTACTGTAAAAGTTTCATCAACTACTATATCTGGGTAATTTGATCAGAGATATTTGGGTTATTAGAGTTTTGGCATAGGCTCATCAATTTTGAAAGGAGTTCAATGAGTTTAGAGACTGAATTTTCTTGAGAGTGATTCTGTGGGAGGTTTTCATCAGTTTGCGTGGATACTGAGATTTTTTATGATCTGGCTTGTGTTTTCAAACTCATCATGCAATTGACCTGAGGTACTGAGATAGTTGCTGAAGGGTTGAGTGGTGAACTTAGTGATGTGCTTCTAGCTGTGCTGCTGGTTGTGGTGATAGTTGAAGTCTCTTCTACATGTTTAAGGGCATCTCTATATGACATCTTTTTTGTAGAACGAATCTTCTCAACTAACACTTCGAATTTCATTCGAGGGCAACCCCCGTAGTTAGCAGTATGTGTGCCACCACAGTTGCAGCATTTTGGGGTCTGACTACTGGAAGTAGAGCAGTCTTTTACATTATGAGGTCCCCCACAACCTACACATCACAGGAGGGGCCTCTGCCCTCTGCAGTTGCTGGCATTATGATTGAATCCCTGACATTTATAACACTGCCAAGCCCAAGGCTTCCTCACAAATGCTTTCACCTTGAAGCGTTGGTAACCAAGATAGAGGTAGGAGGGTAGATGATCTGATGCAAAAAGTACCTCGAACATAGCTGTCTTTACTTTATCCTTGCCTTTGTAAATTCTAACTGCTGAGTGCTGAGGCACCATTGTATCTGGCCAGATGTAACTCCTGCCACCTAGGTGAGCTCTTCCTCCAATGTCTCATTGCCAAAAGGTCCTATTACTCCAGCTGACTGCTGACACAGTGTGATTAAGTGGGAGTTGGCATTTGACTTTCCAAGATCCAATTTGATTAGTAGAGAGGAGATTATAGTGAGACATTCAGAATCTTGGTTGTCCATTGTTACTATCAAAAGATTTTTTCCAACATTTTTCTAAACTCCCTTGACCCCTATTTTTCCAAAATATGATGTGGCTAGGGAAATATGATGTAGCAGGCTAGGGCTTTGCTAAGAGCTAAATCATTTGCTAAAAATTTGGTAATAGGACATTCATCAGGTATAGGTTCAATAATCACAACTAAGGGGTTGCCTGGGTTGGTACTTGGTAGGTGTGATACTGTGATTTGCTCAGGTACTTCAGCAAAGAGAGCAGAAGTTTGCTTCTGTCCACAGGTAAGACTAAGAACAGTAGGTAGGTATCAGAGTCAGATATTTCAGCAGAGACAGAGAGAGCATGAGAGGTTGGCTTCTGCCCCCAGGTAAGAACCATATCAGAATCAGACAGGTCACAGGTCTCCACTGTGCATAGAGTGTATGAATATTGCAAGATCTTTGGCGACGCTTCAGTAGCCAAATTTTCGCCTTCAGAAGATCTTGCCGACACATTTGGATTGAAATTCTTGCATTTAATATATTTCTCAGTCTTCGGCCAACTATTTAGAAAAAAAGTAAGGTTTCCGGTACGTTGGATGGATTATGATGCAGCGAAGCTTGTCCGGAAATCAGTTGCGATGAGTTCCCGCAAAAAATGTAAACGTTTTTTTGATTGCGTAGTTTCGGTCACATTAGAGCGGTCAGACTGCTTTATTACATGTTCAGTTGACACTTGCTGTACAATCGGACTGTTTTTAGGGTAAAATTAGTTAGGTATATTGGCGACGCTGCTTCCACCTTCTGCGCCCTGGACAGGTCTCCCAGTCCCAGTTAATCAGAATAAGACAAAAACCCTTCAAAGTTTGCCCCAAATCCATCATGTTGCATTTCCAGCCTTTCTTTGTAATTTTACTGTTCCTTATTTGCCAATTTGTCTACAGCAATCTGTCTAGAAGCTTGCTTCTCACATCTTACTAGGCTTGGAAAGTCATCAGGTTTGTTGATGTTTTGATTTTTGAGAGTCCCGAAGTTTATTTGCACTACCTTCAAGGCTTCAAGCAGCCTTGTCATCGGTACCGACTCCGAAACGGGAGATTCAATCTCCGCCTCGGGGTCAGACGTCCCAGGTTAAAGCCTAGTTGTTCTCGTTTTTTTCCTACGTTTACTCCCAAGTCCCACCCCGTCCCATATTCTAAAAAGAATGAAATAACCACCTAAAGCTTAAGCAACAAGTTTCGAGATCGTTACTTACGAATTTGATGACCTCTTCTTACCGATCACGTAACCAGATCTTTGCTTACAATCGACACCAGAGATGTTTACGCGATGAACGCCGGCCATCGAGGCATCGACCATCTTTGTTGAAGGTGACAGGACAATAGTCACAAAACTATCAGGAAACCAACACTCCAACAGGTGACTGACGTCAGACGCCAGTTAAGGTACGAACTAAAATTCGGATTGAACCAAAGGACTAGAAGCAGGAAGCTTTACTTGGACCGGTCCGCCCATGGTTGACCTAATGTTATTTTAACCATGGTTGAACTTATAAATTACGGTAGTTCAACCATGACTTTAACCAAGGGTCTGCCACATGGTTGAGAGAAGGTAGGTGAGAACACAACCCGAAAATTATCTACGTAACTTTGAGGCTATGAAAGTTACACACATACCAATGAAAGACCTGCATGCCGAAAATATTATGTCACACACATAGGTATAATATCCAGCACAATTACTTTACCAATTAATTCGTTCACCAATAAATCGCTTTCCCCGCCCCCGTGCTTTTATGAAACATCCTAAATTAACTTGGATGTTTTATCACAACACAGCATTGCCGTAAATTATGAACACGTATTGTCAATGAAGGTTATTAGTAAGAAAACAACCAATTTGATAATAGAGTACAATTTCGTAGAAAATTTAGTAGTATGAAGCTCGCTGATTAAAAATGTAGAGGAGGGGGAGTGGAGGAGGGGAATGTGCAGCCAGACGTTAGAAGGCAGAGCCTGCAGGCCGATAAATTTTAACCGCGTGAGGCCGTTTGGGCTCGATGCGGCGTTCAGCGACCGCTCCACCTGACTTGACTCTTAAGGCCCTGGTTGAGAACCGAGAGGCTTCGAACAGGCTTGGCTCTTCCCTATGCGTTTCTTCACTAATTAGGATAGACTTTACTCCACTCGCAAATGAGATGGCGATATGGATTTTTCCATACTTATCCAGCTATTTATTTATAAGCGTCGACCAGTAACAAAAAATATGTAAACTTTGTATTAAAAGAGTTTTAATGAGAGGAAATTAAAAGAAACTTTGAATATTATTGTTCATCATGTCTGCGACTTTTTTATTTTTTTCGAGATGTTAACGGGTTGTAATTTTTATTCTCCATTGAATGGTATACTCGGCATTCCTTGATCAGCCTCCTTGTTGTAGATATTTTCTACCGAAAAATAGTTATGATCGAGTCTGCTGATAAGCGGAGGGAAAATCCCGCATACTAGCTGCTCAAATGGAGACGTTGTGCAATGTTTGAGGGGAAAGAGACGTCGTAAATTATTCAACTGTCAGTTCACGACGGGTGGCATGGTAAAGGCGAAGTCAATGAGGGGCGAAGAATAATACATGACCAGTGGTCGGCCTAGTCCAATTAGTTATAGTCGACCGTTGGCCATTCCTCGGCCACCTGAAAGCGACCAGTTACCGCTAAGAATGGTCTGGCTAGGATATCATATTACAAAGAGTATACAAGCTCGAGGGTAGCGACTGGCCGAGCTTTGGGCAGATCAAGGATTTTACACGATGGTCGCGAAAACCTCGCTCTCAGACTTCACTGCATTTTGACTACAAGCCTTAAGGGTGACAAGAAAGGCTAACTCGTGCAAGAATTTAGAGGATGATATCAACGAGGAGAAAACTGACAATTTTTTTGGCCATTCTGTAAATTCAAGTACATTACAACAGAAACCAAATCTGTCAATCATGATATATTGATTCTTGATTCTCATTCAAAATTGTGAATAAAATTGAATAAAGCTGTGAGAAAAATTATTTGCCACTCAAAAAAGTGAAAATATAGTATATGCAAGCTTACCAGTTCATTTATGCTGCTAGCTGTCAACTGCAGTGTTTTCCCAGGGAGTAATAACCCAAACTTTTATTAATTTATGATAAATTTGCCCACTTTGCCGTAAGTTTGCCTGTGGACAACGTAAACCAGATATTGTAAACCTCTTATTCCATTTAAACAACTTGCTTTTCGAATTTCCCGATGACGAGAATTTCACTCTCGTTGTTCATCATGTCATATTTATCATAAATTGAGTGTTTCGCTATCAATAAATAGCATTTATAAGCAAAATTTCGAAGTATATAAGCGTCTAGAATCTTTTATAACAGCTAAAAATTTAGCAAACACTCGCGAAAGTGACGGAACACATAAGCTCGACGGCATCGGACTCCGAATGTAAACAAAGGATGAAGCGAGCCTCTTATTGCTTTGATGATATACCATTTTAGAGCAGTCATGCGTGCGTAAGTTTTGATAATGCTGAAACATTTACGACTTACGAAATGCGGAGATTCTTGTACGTAACTAGAGAAAGTTACGTATACTTAGCGATATTATGACTATCATAATATCTCACAAAATCAGCTGAAGGGAAATAAGAAAAGGTTGTATTTCAACAGGATACTGACAATAATTAAAGAGTCTGAAAATATCATGAACAATTTCAAAATTCATAGTATATTTTTCCATGTTTTTGTGGTAGAGGCCACATAGATTAAGTGTAGGTTAAAGACTGGACATTAGGAAAGAGGCGCGTAAGAGTTGGAAGATGGTGGTTTAGAAAAAATTGGGGATGGCTTCTTTTTATGATAGCTTTCCGCTAACCCTATTGAATTTACGCATGTAAAGGGCCCTTAATAATTATTCTTCACGATTAAATATTGAGAAGCGAATGTTGCTCCAGCGTCTGTGTGACGTCGTAGGAGAATAATGTGTGGAGGTGCTACATCGGGAAATCTTGCAATACTTGTTAAGAACCTACATGAATATTTCAAACGCTTACTTTGTGTTACTGTTGGAAACTAACATGTCAAGCAGATATACCGAGACATCCTTCACATTAAAAAATGTACCAGGTATTAATATAGGGAATGGTTATAACGATCAGCAACCACTTATAACTTCTTCCTACTCTGTGGTTAATAGGAAAAGTATCTGTATAAGAAAATAAAATTTCTCACCCGCCTTTGAATGATAGGGGTCACGACAGGCTACGTACCATATATAGAAACGGTTATGTATTGAAAAATTTTGGTAACTACCGTTTTCTTTAAGCTGAGCTAACAGTTTACGTGTCGTGAGAGCATGAGCTTTTCGTAGTTTTAGGTCTTGAAAAGGACTGGTAACTAGCCGTACTATAAAGGACTAGTAGCCAACTAGCCGATTAAAGATATGTACAGTAGTACTAAAGGTGTGCGTCGGTCTGACTGTCGAAATTAAGGAGATGGCCGAGCACTAGTTCCATTGTAATGACTCAACACCTCGTGTCAAGATATATCTGAGGCAGTATATGTCTTTGCATGATGATTCTTCACTGTTCCCTCACAAACAGTCGAAGAATCCCTCACGCGAGTAATAGAATATATAATGAGCTAGTAATTGAATATATAATTTGCCCCTAGAAACAATAAAAACACGATAAATGGAGGCAAACATGCAATAGATAAACATGTACAACAAATCCCACATATAACAAATGTAGTATTAAATATCTATCGATTACTATTAATTCCCTCGTGAAGCGTATCTATGACACGAATAAGTAGATTAAGAGGCGTCATGCTACATAACGATTCTAACAAAGAGCGTTTCCAACAAAACGTTGGAAAATACACAAGAGAACATAAAATCAATACAAGAAAAATCCCTGTTATTTAGGACATTGTAAAAATATACTCATTACCAAGGTTCATATTAATTCGATAATGAATACAATCAATTCCACACTGAACAAGATTGTATCTTGGTCATTGGCATATTGTGATTAGGAAATGATTAATTATTGGATGCTGGCATGGAAGTTTGGCGCAGCGACCGCTTCACATCAGCCGTGAAGACGAGCCTTCATTGTTAACTATCAGCGAGCTGCAGGTACTCGAATGAAATCTCAAGCCTTGCTTTAATTTACAACCATGCTTGTTGTCCAGTCCTGATTTCGAATTAGTCACGCAATATATATCGAGTGAATGATCAGGAAATATTTAGCGAAAATCCTCCTTTTACGTCTTACTTTACCAACTTTATTAAAACGTACGTCAATTCTGTGGTTGAAAAACTGCAATTAGTTTCAAAATTCGAGCAGTAAAATTCTGAGATATGAAATTTTACGATAACAGGCAATCTATAACACTATTTTAAATCGTTGCAGAAAATCGTTTAAGAATGGTGAAACAAAATTCTGAATTATGTGGAACTGGGATACATCATGGGCTCGAAGACAGTTGAACTGCGTCGGCATCACAGATCACCCCATATCAATGAAATCTTGCTTTGAATTCCTGGTCCGTGAAATGTTTCATGATGAAATCATTCATCATCTTCTCTTGTTCTTCTGTAAGCTCGCCTTTCCAAGCCATCGCCAACCCTGCAACATTTGTTAATATTTAGGTCAAAGCAGAGATGAAGAATTCAACTATTTCAATAAATGTACAGTAAATTCTTCACGACAAGAAAAGTATATAAAGCTGCGCTAAGGTTATTTCTTTTCTATTTCAACAATTGTAACAAAGAGGGTAAGTATTTCCATTAAAATATATCTATTTCGTAATAGCTCACCGCGCCTGATAAATGGTCCGTCTTTTTGAGCAACATCCATGTTGCTCACAGCGGAAGACATGACTCGGTATGGGTCAAACTTCTGCATGTTCTTGAAGCAAGTTTGTCGCTCCACCTGCGGCAAGAGCAAGTACATATTCATTATTAAGTATTCATTGTACTACCATGAACTTTTCTAAAGATTTGCTAACACAAGCTACATGTACATTTCGAATTTATATTTTTTATGATCCCTAATTATCGGCCAATTGAGACGGTAAAGTACAGGGTTAATCTAAATAATGGACCAAATTTGATAAATTCGCATTTATTTAGGTATACATTCAAAATGAGTAATTTATACACCAATGGAAAGAGAAAGATTCCATTTTTCATATTATATGCATTCAGTATGGCCCCCTTGTGATGCACGACTAATGTCTAAAAGGTAGCCAAATTCGTCCCACACACGAGAAAGCATATCTTTCGTTACTGAGTGCACCGCAGCAGTGATACGGTTCTTCAGATCAACCAGAGTTGCTGGTAGAGGCGGGACGTAAACAGAGTTGCTGGTAGAGGCGGGACGTAAACAGAGTTGCTGGTAGAGGCAGGACGTGAACAGAGTTGCTGGTAGAGGCGGGACGTAAACAGAGTTGCTGGTAGAGGCGGGACGTAAACAGAGTTGCTGGTAGAGGCGGGACGTAAACAGAGTTGCTGGTAGAGGCGGGACGTAAACAGAGTTGCTGGGAGAGGCGGGACGTAAACAGAGTTGCTGGTAGAGGCGGGGCGTAAACTGAGTTGCTGGTAGAGGCGGGACGTAAACAGAGTTGCTGGTAGAGACGGGACGTAACAGTTTCCATGACGCAACTCCATAAGAAATAGTCATCTGCATGGGGTGAGATCAGGTGATCTCGCTGGCGCCAGATCTTTATTTTCTATGCGTACTATCCATCGCTCAGAAAGTGACAAATCCAAGAAGATTATGACATCAAGCAGCCAATGAGGAGCACAAGGGTGCTTCCCACAAATATCGAACATTTATAAACGTCTAAAAAAAAATTCTTTGAATCTTTCTCTTTCAATTGGTGTATAAAGTATTAATTCATAATCCATACTCAAATAAATGCGAATTCATTAAATTGGGTCCATTATTTAGAATAGCCCTGTATATTTTGACTAAATTTCCCTTCTGAATTTCTGTCTAATTTCACCCTGTCTGACTTCAAGCGAACAGCTTTGGTCATATATCATCAGCCAAAGGAACCGTTTACTTCGCTTGAAATTCCAGGAAGTACCAAGTTTGCCAGCTGCAATTGCCATTTACGTTTTCAATTTTAGTTTTTAATAATCTTTTATCACATACAATATAAAATCACCGCCTTTTTTGTAAAGAAACATAAACAGGCATTCAATGACTTGCGTTTTACGTGTTTCATATAGGATTTTACGCAACTCAGATTTGGGACAGACTCAATAGCCTAAAAAATTGTCGCCAACATGTTGAATTAAGTTGATGAGAGGTATTAAACAAGCAATTTGATACATTGGTTCGTTCATTCTCATGCTCTACGTTTTATGCTTACATTTTCTCCAAGGTCGACTACATCTCAAACAAACCTTTCTCACATTCGTTCAGTGTTAAAAGAAATGTTACACAACTTCATTTATACTACTATTTAGAGATATTCAAGAATTCTTGGTCCTCAAACGATAAACCTCTCAATGATTCTACAAGCACTCGAGTTCTACTACTTTTCTCAAAGTCCAGGAGCTGGAAGTCTTTTAAGTGACTACATACGTTCTGCAGCTGGAGCTCCGACAGCCCGGTTCCCAGGAAGACGTTGAGTTTACGCAGCTCAGCTTGGATGTCTGCTTTCAAATCTTCGTAAAACAGGAGGTAAAAGTTGGGGTGCAATTTGAACTGAAGAGCCTCCCTCACAAGATTTCCATACGAGCCATAGATCACTAGAAGAAAGCAAAAGCTTCATTGTTGTAAATAAAATTAATTCTCTAATGGCTTTTACTAATGAAAATATTTATGGTGCCCTTCTAAATTCTTTTACCTTTTGCGGACTGAAGCGTAGCGCCATGGTATTCGTTGAGGTAAATCAGGCATGAATCGGACATGTACATTATAGACAGCTGACTAATTTCTTCATTTGGAAGTCATTTTTCCAAAAGGATTTCAGCTGCTTAAGTATACCCATAATTAGTAACTTCTCGAGTCCGAACATTATCGCCTCGCTCAAAGGCTTGCAAGAGGTTATTGCTGGAGTAAGAAGCTCGTGCAAAGAAATGCATACGATGCTTGTATACTTGTTACATTTTGGGTCGGAATAAAGAGGTAGGATGCCAGAAAGAAGTGCATAAAGGGAAGTGAATAAATTTCAGAAACGGCATTAGGTCAAAGTATTCAAAATTTTGTTACACTTACTTGGGAGACAACTTACAGTGACCGCATGCGCTTCAACACGCAAGATTCGCGCAAATGAACATGTACCTACGCTAGAGCTGAAACACGCACGTTCCGGATGCAACGATGCTTAAGAGGAACCCAGCAGAAGGAAAGCTTCTAAGTATTCTACACAGCATGCTTGGAGTGAAAGAAACTGTGAGGAGGTAGACATGTCTAGTGTTCATCCCACAATCCCATTTTGGAGATGCAAGAGTGCGTTTGCGGTGCAATAATAGCGTCACCATGACTAACTGGATCTTGCTTCCCTGCAATGAAGTTAGACAATGAAATGACTTACGCAACTGAATTGCTAATATGCCACCTGCAAAACGTCAGCCATGGAACAAATTCTAGTATGCTCATTAATTTCTGTTCTGTTGTTTAACTGGTTGATTTGGCATTGCAGCATATTAGCTGCAACATTCACTACGGGGAGATAGCTGCCTACCTTGCCAAAAATTTTTACCAGACTTACGTTAGTTAATGTTGTATAATATGGTCAACTGGACCTGCAAGAATGAATCCAGTTTAAATTTAAAAACAGAAAAGAAAAAGAACCTCGTATTTAAATTCAACTTCAGTTTATTTAGCAGTGAGAGAAATAGCAAAAAATCAGCATCCATTTACGATTTCCGTGCATAATCTTGAACCAAAATTATGTAGTACAAACAAAATTTTCTGGCAAGCAAGACCAAGCAACTATCCGAAAAAATGATACGGATTTCTCGTCTTTCATACCACTAATGAATAAAAATTTATCAGTCATACCCGTCTACTTTGAAATTATTAAGGGGACCGGCTACCTAAAATTTTCAATTTTGGCGTTTTCCGGTTTTTGGGCTCATCTTAAAGCTTACTTTTTGACGCATCCAACGGTACCAGAATCATCCCTCTACGTCGAAAAATGATTTCGTAACAGCCCCCCGAAGGGAGGGAGTTTTTAGAGCCCTCAACTAAAGTCTATGGGATTAATTAGAAGGCTAGACACACTAAAAAGGAACGTCTGACGTAAAGCGGCCAATCATGGCATTATCCGGTGCTCATACTCATCTTAAAGCTTACTTTCTGACGATTCCATTGGTGGCAGAATCAAAATGAGAAAAATGGGAAAAACGCGCATAAAAAAAACTATGGGGAAAATGAAAAAACCCATGATTGAATCGACAGATATGGTCTTTACGAATAGAATGATACGTGTCTCGATGTTGTAGGATGATATTTGTAGGAGGAGATAGATTTTCTAAAGTCCCCCTTTTTAGCTATTTTCTATGAATTTCCCATTTTCTATCAGTTTTTTCGAAAAATTTATAGGAGCAAAATGTAATTTTTTTACATTTTACGTACGTATGTGAAGTTTCATGATGATCGGATAATAACTGTAGAAGTTTTTCCGGAGGGTAGCCGGTCCGGGGGTCCCCTTAACATTGCTTACTGAACTCACTCAGATCGTTTACGAAATACTCAATGAAGACGTCTTGGGAGCCAGTGAAGCCATGAGATTTCAGAAGGCGGCAATGATGCTGGAACGATAACACCACATCTTTCGGGTGCCGAACGATAAGAACCACCTGTAAATGCAAACAGCTTTAGTTTTAAGATTATGAGGACATATTTCCCCATAAGACCTGAAAGTCATCGATAACGTCTAAGTTAAAAGCAAATGATGCTGGTAGCACAGTCTAGCCAGTCTGAAGACGAAAAATGTAGTTATAGAAAGAATGATGCTGGTAGCACAGTCCGGCTTGACCTACCCGTAAACGACAACAACGTTTGCTTATGAACAAATGATGCTGGCAGCACTGTCCTGCGCATTCATCTCGACACAGCTGCGTATAAAACTTTTACTATCTTCAATTACTGAACATATAAAACCGCCATTGAAAGAAAATAAATCCACTGAACGCATGACACTTGATAGCGTGTCCTAGATTACATTGGAGTAATTGGACAACAACCATGACGTCGAGACCATCTCGCCTGCTATCTTCTGTCTTGACGAGGGCACGGAAACCCATTGAGAGGACTAACAAGACCATCGCTCGCACTGTGCTGGAGAAACCCGCCTGCATCGTCATCATGCAGAGGTGCACAACATATTAAGCGACCAACGATTGCTGGAACCCTCTTCATTTTGGATTGGATCCCAGCATTCTATTTCCAAACTACCGAATTTGTCTAAACTTTGAGATTGTTTGCGGAGGGACTTACTCACTCGAAATATTTGTGTCGTATCCTATTTACGTGTAGTATGTACTTATGTCCAACAAAAGTTCATCATTCAAAGTTTCTCTTAACTTGAAAAAGAATGTTGTTACATTCAAAAGTTCGTTAATATATTATTACTTGCTAAACCGCCATTTTGATCTACCAACGTCATCTAAAGAATTGTTCGACTCCTTGAAAATTGTAATGCATTCTCTGGTCATAATTTGTGCGCATATAAACAAGAAAATTCTACCATCTAATTCTAATACTATGCAAATGAACGTAAATGCAAACATACATGCAAATTGGATTATTTCAAGCATGAATAAGCAAGGGTCACGTACTCCCGAACATACTATGCGCTGATTGATTCTTGCGCCCCACTTTTTTAATTCTGTCAAGTTCAATATGAAAATGCGGATTATAAATGGTATTATTATTCCAATGAGGATCTTGCATTTCTTGCCAAGCAAATTAAAGGTGGATACATTGTAACGATCCTGTCAACATGAGAGCTAAATTTGGTTTTTAATGAATTCATTTAAAGCTCATGTAGAACCTCTTCCTTTGAATTCTAAACATTTATCTTCGCGCTGTTTATGTGCAAGACTTTGAATTAACTTCTGGCACTGAAGACGTGAATGTTGCCAATAAGTCAATTATTTCTTGGCTGGAAAGAGATGAAGAAAGAAGTCACCTCCCTTGGAAATGAAAGCAAACTGATGGAATTGCATTAGCAGCTGCCCCCGCTCAGTATTTTTGCTCATTGTGAATTACATAATATGTATGGACGGCTGTCTCTCATTGCTAAACATTATATTGCTCAACACGTTGAGTGCGGCACAGCCCACCAGCGCTGCCAGATGGCCTAAAAACGGCCAAGTTCGCGGATAAAAAGGCCTACAATTCAAAATATACCAGTAAATTCGTAGGTTCCGGTGCAAAAATGAAATTCTCCTTTCTTCCGTTCATCTTGAGATTTAATGACGTAGTACTACCATTATAATTTTTTGTCGACAAACGCAATTGGAAAAAACTAAATTTCGGAATTTGTCCGGAAAATAAGACCCTGCAACACACCGGTGGGTCGTGCCGAACTCGACGTGTTAACGTTTTGTTTAACGGAATAACATTGCCAGTCTGTGAATAGATCATATTTCATGCTTGCGATATACAGGGTTATTCAAAATGATGGAACCAATTTAAAAAATTCGTACGTATTTAAGTATACATTAAAAGTAAATAATTTATACACCAATGGAAATAAAAAGATTCGAAGTTTTTTTTTGAATGCAGAAAAGCAGAATTGAGTGGCGGCGGCGTCTTGATGAATGAAACTTTTTGACTGTGTCACTTCCTGAGCGTCGGATAGGACGCATAGGAAATCTGGCAATATACTTCTGGCCACCGAGATCGCTTGATCTCACCCTATGTGACTATTTCTTGTGGGGTTACGTCAAGGAAGCTGTTAAGGTCCTTCTTTTACCAGCAACTCTGCTCACGTCCCGCCTCTACCAGTACGAGTGGTTGACCTGAAAAACAGTGTTGCCAGATGGTATATTTATATACCAGATTTTACAAATCTGGTATTTTCAGGAAGTGTCTGGTATGACTATTTTAGATCTAGTATATTTGCCTAAATGTGGTATTTTTCTGGTATTTTCTGACTTAATGCAAATTTACTGCATTAAGTTCCACCTCTGAAGTTTGAACGTCCTCCAGCGTAGGCGTTGATTATATAGATAGATTACCGTCAGAGCGGCGCGACTAGAGGTTTCCCGCCATTTTTTGGAACCGCAAGTTTATCACTTGATAAAATAACCCAAATCTAATTGTTAACATTTAATAAAAGTGCTAATTAGTGCAATATAAGCACGAGAGTGATGATCCATGATTGATTACTGATCAGTGATGATATGGCCTAGGACGAGTGAGGTTGTCGAACCGATCTCTGCGACGCAAGCTCCACCATTTTTGTTTGGTGGTTTTGAATTCTAGAGTGCAACTTGAATTCTGGGGTGCCATTCGATATTTCAGTGATTTGAAAATCATCATCCATTCATAGAACTGGCTGCCTACCACATCACTTGTCTACTTTGACCTGTCTCCAATGCATTCGTGGAGCGAGTGTTTACATTAGTCACCTATGTGAAAAACAAGCAACGAAATAAAATTTCAACTAAGGTACTGAAGTCCGTTATTCGGACCAAAAGCTATCTGCTCAACCGCAACAAGTGATCACACCCGAAATGTGAGATAAATGCAAGCATGTACGAAAATAAGCAAGAGGAAGATGACCTGTTTCCGTGGCTTGCTCATGTTGAGCGAAGGGGAAGAAGTGCCACAATGTGATAAAAAAGGAAAAAGTGTCAATGTAATCAAACGCAGGAAAAGAAAAGTGTCAAAATGTTGCAAACAGAGGAAAAAAATATAAAGTGTTCAATTTGGCAAATTATTGTCAAGCCAGATACACAAGAAAATTTTTTTCTTTGTCTCAACGTTTCTGACGAATTAATTTCATCAAATTTTTAGGTAATAATCTGTTTTTGAATAATAGAATTTGTGGTATTTTTGGTATTTAGAGCAAGGCAATCTGGTATTCTCGCCAAGCAAAAAGCTGGCAACACTGCTGAAGAACCAAACACTGCTACGGTGTACTCGGTAATAGAATATATGCTTTCTCGTGTGTGGGATGAGTTTGTCTACCGTTTAGATGTTTGTCGTGCAGCACAAAGGGGACATGTTGAACATTTATATATATGTGTAATGTATGAGATTACGCGCGTGAAGGGTGGGAAGAACACGGCAACACGAAACAGGATTTATTGAAACCACATAATGATCACGAAACAAGAACGAAAGCTAATGGAGCACGACTCTTCTTCAAACGGAACACGACAAATCGAGCTTCTTCTTCGTGGCTAGATATTAAGCATACAGGAATCTTGATATGCTACACCTCTCCCTTAAATCATTTACATAACCATTTGAGCGAAACATAACCATAACCAAAATTAAATATCAAATCAACTTTAAAATCTGACCAACACTAGAAGAGACATAAAATAACGTGATCTCAACGTTGAAAAATGATCGATATCGGGACACAGCATCAAAGGTTGGCACATGATATAAAAACGTTTCATACCTTGCATTTGTTGATCAGGCCAGGCTGGAAGCAGGATGGGGGCAAGTGCGTCTTAAGAGTACGAGGCTCCGTTAATGATTCTGCCATCTTCAAAAATGTTAAATTAACACCTTCATATGTTGCCCGTGAAATGATGACATGAACTTCAATAGAATAAAGGCAACAAATTAATTATCGATTAAAAATATTACGATACGCATATGAACAACATTTATTCATTTTTACCGGTAAACGGTGTAATTTTGATCATAATTTAACTATATTCTAAATTTTGATAAAAAATTATTGAAAGATTTATGTTATACATTATAATAGTGCAGAGACTAACTGCATGCCCATACTTGAAGATGAATTCCACGCTTGGGATCCAAGTTAGGGCAGCGAGTCTTGAACGTGCTGAACATGGGTTCGTCTAAGTACTTTTCGACGGATGTGGTAAGCATGTAGTCGTGCAGCGCCATGTCCGTCCTGCGCAAGTTGAGCGTTTCAAATGTCGGTCGTACAAGGATGGCGATCACGCTGCATCACAGATGTTTCATGGTTTACGGATTTCAATAAGAACCGGGTTTCGCAGCAATTACTTGCTATTATTCTCGACTGAAAACATTCGCTTGTCTGCCACGAATCACAAACTGAAACATCAAACGCTAGTATCATCATTATGTTTGCATCATGCACGTCTTTGGACACAGGATTAGTGAACACGTTCAAGCTGAGAACTTTGGAATTTGTTTTAATTACAGTACTGCTTCTGAACCATACGGTAACTTGTTCATCTCCACTCAACTCCACGGCTATATCAGACACGTGGATGTGCAATGTGTGGCGCGTTTATATTTCAACCTAAAATGGGCGCAGAGGCGTCAACCCTACGCTCCCGTAATGGCGTCTTTTCTTTGCGTTAAACATAGTTTTTTAACCCAAGATTTTTTCAGAGTTCCTCACACTTGTGCTTAATCTCTTATAACAGAGGCAACAGGGTGGCCACATAACGTTGCCCATATAGCTCGAAACTGCGAGTCCAGCGATATGTTGTTTAATGCCGAGTGTGACACGCATCAAAAGGCTTGGAATTACAGTATCAAGAGTTATTAAAAATATTTTAAATTAGTTCTTACTCTATAACGGGACTCCGAGCCAAGAGAGGCTCTTCGGGATTTTGGTGATCGAGATCGGGGTTGTTTCTCATGTTCCAGATTATCTCCTGAAGCCACGTGGTGCCACATTTGGGGTACGACATTACCAAGACGTCGTCTGGACGAAACTGGAAAATGTAAGAAAAATTCTATGCTTCTTTTTGTTCGAACATAAAGATTTAGAATGCACTAAAATAAATACTGAAGAAATGAAAATTCATTAGGCACCTGAATAATCTTCCAATATTAACAGACGTAACCAAATGTGTAGAATAATAACCGTAACACACTTCAATGAGTAGCGGTTGTGTGAGTTGGTGAAGACTCACAAAAGTGAGCTTTCGTTCCTTAACATTACTCACAAGCTTGAGCAATCGTTCCTTAGCATTACTTACACAATTTAAGTGAGCTATCGTTAATCGTTCCTTAACATAACTCACACAAGTGAGTCGCGGCTGTACTAGTATGACCAAAAAATGATCAAGATATCTGAAAAATCCGTTCGCTTTTAGACAAGCTATCGCCTGTAAGACTAATGTACCAGGTTGTAATGAAAAAGCTGTACGTAAAATTACTGGATATGAAATGAACAATAATTTATTTCACCCTTTCGCATGCTTAATATGTCCTTGATGGAGCTAGTTCTGAATTATTCGGATTAGTTACAGTGTTTTCTTAGTAAACACACGTTATGTTGTAAGGGATTGCAATAGGACTCTTGAAATTTATCGTTTAGCGTTTTGATTCACCTTTGACGTGACCTCGTTTAGATGCGCTTTGTATTTCGTCATTGTATGGGAATCCCACCACAGAGGTGCGTGTAGGTATTATGTCTAGTTATTCATGTGATAGTCATGTATACATACGTACAGGGGTTGGACAAAATAATTGGAACACTACACCTATTAGTATATTTTCTTTAAAATCCTCCTCTGTCCAAAATATTCATCAGTTTCATTATATTGGTATATTGGTATACATACATAATTAATATATGTTGTTTTTACGATTACAGGTATATTGCACAATCTATTCTAGATTTATTTAAAAATTAGGCAAGATGCGTGACTTAACTGATTTCGAAAAAGGGCAAATTGTTGGTGCTCGCATGACATGAGCTTCGATCACCAAAGTCGCTGAGGTTTTCGATTTTTCGAGAGCTACTATATCAAGGACGATGACGCAATTCGAAAAACAGGGGAAAACATCTAATAATCGCATTAAATGTGGTCGACCCTCAAAGCTATCAAGCGCCCTTAAAAAAAGGCGATCTACGGCTACAAAGGTGCGTGCAGAGTTAAATCAGCATGCCAGCAATGAAGTTTCTACCAAAACCGTTCGTCGTGAGCTTCATAAGGGTGGATACCATATTGGGAATGATAGTAATACAAAAGCTATCGAGATTTTGCCGTATTATTTATTCAAGAGTTTACACTAAAAAATGATCATTGATATAAGGAATTGTTTGAAGAAGCTCAAGTATTGGTCTTAAGCATCAAGATGTGGACAAAGTTTTCATCAGCTGGTTAGGTCTTGCTCAGGTAAGTACAGATAAGGGGCAGCTGCAACGCCAGCACGGGCGTATGAGTCCGCACCATCCAAATGTTCTGTTGCGAAGAAACGGTAAAATCAATAATCGCCTAATAAATACAGAGAAAATATAGAATTTATAATGAATGCGGAAAATTTGAATATCAATTGGATTTAAACAATTTACCTTAAGTGATAAGTCCACTTAAGAGGCAATCTGAATTTTTCAAAGATTAGTATTTAACATGCAATTAGTAATTTAATTTGTAATTTGAAATTTGACTGGGCCAATCTTAACGAAGTGAATAGCATGCGTAAGAAAATAATTAAAGCAATAGAGGGAAAATTTGCACAAGAATACACGAAGGCGTCACCATCGTCTGTATCATTCTAACTTAGCTATAAACGTCAAGATCACACAATATGCCTATTACTTTCTACAGAAAGAAACGTGGAAACTTAATATAGACTTTTTTAATTTTAAAGATTTTAATTTATAATTTCCAATAACCATGGTAGAGCCGCTATCAGGAAACCTCTACTTTCTTCTTGAAACATTCAGAAGCGGATGCTGTGGTGCAAGGACCACAAAACCTGGTCTCCAGACCAGTGGAGGCGAGTAAAATTCTTAGACGAGTCCTCCTCCTACGAGTCAGACGAGTCTTCAGTCATCAGACGAGTCCCTCAATATTCTCAGACGAGTCCTCCTCCTGTCTGGATGAACTGGAGAAGGTTTTGATGGAAGAGTGGCTGAAAATTCCAATAGAACAAGTCAAGAAGATGTACGATTCGATTCCCAGACGTATTGAAGGCTAAAAGAGGGTTCAACTCCGTATTAAATAAAGTTTTTCTAAATTTATCAGGTGTTCCAATTATTTTGTCAAACCCCTGTATATCCAGTGGTTTATATAGGTGACTATGAATATCATTACTTTTATCAATCTGTAACTTATTTTCGCCAAGTATAGGCATTATATTCTGATTTGTTAGTGTCTGTAATTTTGTTTTATTTATGCATTTTCAGAAAGGCTCCGAAACGTGAGGCCGGAGTTAAAAGTGACAAGGAAATACACGGTTTATTCATTTGTATTCTCGTATCCGTCATTTGTTTATTATTATAGTTATTTATTAAAAGTTTCTGGATACCAGAATTTGTTTGCTTATTTATTGAATAGACCCCAACAATGTGTACGCTAAGGTTCAAAATTATTAAGTGACGCATATAAAAGTGTGATTTGATATTTTTTCGTGTGATACAGCGACAAATTCTACAGACTTTAAATCATCAGTTAAACTTAATTACTTTGATGCAGGTAGGAGACACCAAATGCTATGAATATCATGGTTAAAGTTTCAAGGTTAAAGGGATTTAATTGAGTAGAAACAATTCTAAACTGAAGATCTAATTTCAGGAATGCGATTGATATTGAATAACATGTTTCATGCTCGAACGTATATGTTGTCATTATCACCGAATGAACATTATATGGAATTGTTACTTTTGGCTTTAATCACCTTTCTTCACTGTCTGCAATCAATCACTGTCTTCTCTTCACTGTCTGTTTAATCAATTTCTGCAATTTAATTTCCAGACCGTTATAAGAAATACATGCTCAGCAGTTAACTTGACTTTAAATAAACCTTGAAGTTGTAGATGTCTTCCTCATAGTACTTGATTCCTTCCGGAACAATTGTGCCACATGGGTTAATCCTGAAAATTTTGCTGACGTTCCCGGTGAAATCCTTGCTGTACTGCGTCTGCTGCTCCGGCGGCAGTGCCTCAGCGAATCTTCCGCCGCTTAGTTCCAGCCTTTCAAACATTGCGCGAGGTGACTGTAACGTATAATTTAATATGTAACTGTAAGTAAACAGAGAGCTCGTTAAATTTTACTCTTCATATCAAAAGAACTTGTTCACTTGACAGGAGGATGCTCGTAAGAAAAGTTACGTGTGTTACGTTATAAATTGTTCGGGTAAGATTTAGTTTAATCAAAAACTCACCTAACGTCGGTTGTACTTAAGATCACTTGATTGCTCAAGTCGCAAGTTTATCAAGAATTTAAAAGCAGAGAAAACAGCCAGGAAGTCACTGCATAAGAAGAAAATTCTCGCATAAGAAATGGTAAATTTTCCGCTTGTGCTTGTTTCGTAAATTTATTAGCAAAGATTATCTCACCGCGCGTCAAACTGTATTTTATCTGAACTGTATTTATCTGTTTTATATCATGATTGGTTCAAAGTACATAGCAAACCATATCTCGTCTTCACATTTGTTACATATGTATGCCTTTAGGAAAATAATTCAGGACACATATATGCATTTAGGAAAATATTTATCCATGCGCGTCAACATAAATAATTTCTTGTTCTCATGCTTGCATGATTCGAAGCAGAGATTCACAACAGGACAGAACCAATAAGAATAAAACAAGGTAAATTTTAAATGATGGACCCAATCTGATAAATTCGTATATATTTGGGTATAATGTTATAATTACTTATTTATTCGCCAATGGAAAGAGAGAGATTTAAAGTTTTTTAGCGCATTTTCTCATTTTTGAAAAAAAATGCACTATTGTGCTCGCCATGACCGTCCGTCTGTCTGTCCGTCCGTGACTTCACGTTTTCGTCCACGAGAAAATGCGCTCTGTCACTCACTGCAGTGAGTACTGAGTTATATTTTGTTTTTACATTTTTTGTAAATGTTCAACATGTCAAGCATGTGCTGCATGGCTAACATCTAAACGGTAGCCAAACTCGTCCCACACACGAGAAAGCATATCTTCTGTTACTGAGTGCCTGTAGCAATGANACGTAAACAGAGTTGCTGGTAGAGGCGGGACGTAAACAGAGTTGCTGATTGAGGCGGGACGTAAACAGTTTCTGGTAGAGGCGGGATGTAAATAGAGTTGCTAGTTGAGGCGGAACGTAAACAGCTTCCTTGCTGTAACCCCATAAGAAATAGTCACATGGGGTGAGATCAGGTGATCTCGGTGGCCAGAAGTGTATGGGAAATCTTCATTCTTGTGCGTCCTACACAACGCTCAGCAAGTGACTGATTAAAAAAGTTTCCGGCACCAAGATGCCCAATTCCGCATCTGAACATTCTAAAAAAATTATTTCTCTTTCCATTGGTGTATATATTATTCATTTGAAATTCATACATGAATAAATACGAATTTATTAAATTATGTCCAGCACTTAGAATAACTCTGTACAATCAAAATACTAATCAAACAGAATGGAAACACTACACCAGTGGTTCCCAAAGTGGGCGATATTGCCCCCCTGGGGCGGTGGAAAGATCTGGGGGAGGGAAGGTGAGGAAGAAAGGGGCAGTAGAGGGGCGGCAGTCCTCGAAGTTGAAGTCAGAAGTTTGTACGTTTGTTTGACGATTTGTACACAACACGTGCAGAACATGACTCCTAATCGAATAAGTTTTCACGAGCTAAAAATCACCGTTTGGCATTTAGAAATTTATATTCAAAATTTCGTTCGAATCTGTAAATTAGTTTGGAATATCTCCATATAACTCCCGAATGAAGGTGAAGTTTAAAACGTTTTCACGAGCTAAACATCACTGTTAATGAATACGTGTTCCAAGTTTTATCGAGCTGCGTTCATTAGTCTGGGAGATATTCCTTGGTCACTGAATTTGGAGATTGGCCGTGAGACCGGCTGCGAGTCTGGCCGTAAATTTGTCCGAGCCGTCTTGAATTTCTAGTGCTAAAACAGTTAAGTAAAAAAATATATTGGCTCACTAAATGTGAAATGCACATTTGTGTTTAACCTTTCTCTTCTAAAATTGAAGTATAAAGGGCTAGGTTAATTATCTGGAGGTAAACAATGTGTATTATCTTTGTACAGTATATGGGAAAAGGATGTATTTTAATAAGGATGTAAAAATTGTAAGATTGCTTTAGAAAGAATCGTAGCTTTGCTTACTGGTGTAGTAATTCTGATACGGATAATTCTGATTTTAGAGAGCGTAGAGTAAGGATGCCTCTATTCTGCGTGTTTATATCTTGATCCAGGTAGTCTCAACGGACTTTGTAACCATGCGCATTTTTATATGTGTTTTGATGTAAGATTTAAAGTATATCTTGACCAGGAAATACTTTTATTTATGAAGACAGTTCATGCGAATCAACAGCAGCAAACTAAAGATCAAGGAAGAGGCGTTTATTTTCATGTGTGCGGCGCTAGAGATTCACTGGGGAGCCAAAGGGGGCGCCAGCCTAATAAAAGTTTGGGAACCACTGCTATACACAAAACTACAATATACGTGGAAGCAAGGGTTTTAAAAATTAGCTTGAAAGTCAGTTCAATAAAATGAATCGCTGAGTCAAGTAGGTCACAATTTTGGTCCATTAATTTCTCAATGCATATCGTTCCGTAAATTGTCAAAATATCAACATCCTTATTGTCTAGCTAGAAAAAGTAGTATTCTATGCAAGATACATACACTTCTAACACATCATTGCTCACCTATACAAAGGAAACTAAATTTTGATTGATCAGCTAGCTGAAGGACATCAGTTAAGAAAGGGTCTTAATCGGTCGGTAGATATAGAGCACATGCGTTATCTATCAAGTGCTGATAACAACGGAATATTATTCGTGAGTTGCATGATTATCATAGGCCTGTCCAATATGTAAGGCTGCGAGATTGGACATGCTTGGTAACACTTCATGCACCTTCAGCCCAGGTATGAAATTTTTGTGATGGACTCAACTGCTCCCTCCGCGCATACAAAGACGCGTACGAAATGAACTCTTTATAATATACTTCAAAATCCAAGAGCTAAATAAAAATTTAGGACAAAACTCAACTTCTTTTGTGATACCCAATTAGATAATACTCAATACTTTAATTATTGGGAAAAATTGTGCTTCGCCGCACTTGCAATGACTATTTATGCTGTCCAAATATTAAAGTATAAGCAACTCGCACCTCCCTGCTACATTTTATTTGTTTTTCTTTTATTTTTGCACACATTCAAGTAGACTAAAATAAGCATTCAAGTAGACTAAAAGTGAGTTGCATTAGCGACTCTTTGAGGTTTGTTCCTGGCTTTTCCAGCAAGAAGCGTTATGTTAAAAATACCTGCACTCCAGTTGGCGTTTTTATAAAATTGTGACGCTACAGTGCGATGGCTCCTCTTACTTAAAACATAACATTCAAAACTAATAACCTTCTGATTGCTATGCAAGTCAGTTAGTTAGTATATTCGATAGAACAGCGAATGTGGTTTTAATTTCATTTGTTTGTTAGTTGAATGAATAATCTTCAGCGAGCCGAAACCAGGTGCTCAATTATGAAAATCTATCTTGTAATAAGTTAGGGTATCGTAGTTTCAGTATACAAACGTACGCTGTAATTATTTATATTTTGCTCCTCCAAATATGAGAATAGAACAAAAACGAAGGAATGAATGAAGCTGTAACTGGTACTCTGAGGACATCTGAGTTTGTGCTTATTGCGTCGCCGAGTTTTTCGACGAGCGAGCGTAGCCAGAGGAAATCACCGAGAGCGACGAGTACCAGGGCACCCACTGCCTCATCTGCAGATCGGCTCAAATGAGCTGTTACATCCAGCACTGTGGTTGCTTGGTGGCTTGTTACCCTTGCATGCTGTCAAACATCTTCTATAAGAATATCGTATGGCTGAAATAATTAGTAACTCCGAAGCCCTGGTAAGATGCATAATGGAAGTGTGGGGGATATTCCATTGATGGTTTAGTAATCTGTGTATTTTCAGCTAGCGTCGGTTTCTGCCCTTCGCCTTATTTGCAGGTGTAGTGGATCCTTCGTGTTCTGCTGACACAGGGCCCATCACTCCAATATAATTATATTGGGCCCTGAGCAACAAATGTGGTGTCCCTTTGAGCTAACGTTAAGGTATTCTGCGTGACAAAATTATTCAAGATAGAGTCATCGTTATAAATAAATGTCCAACCATGCACAGATGGGAATGAACCTCAATCAACTATGATTAGTAAAAGAGTACTCGTTTTACGAGTACTCTTCCTACTCCTCCATTACTCACGCACTTACGTTTGAGATCCATGTATGGTACACTAGCACAATGGGCTAGTTACATTGCTCTCAGTATGACAGAAATGTGTATTTGGCTTGTGTATTTTCTTACCCCGACTACTGGACGATGGACTTGACGTTCCTACGGCCTGCGCTGTTATTGCCAAACTGCGACGCTACTTACTGCCATTATGTGTTACTGCTGATCGAGGTCGATTGAACACATTCCTAAGGAATGTGTACAATCAATCTCGCTTCATGAAGTACAATAATGTTAAAGGGTTAATTAAATTTCTTTTATTTTTATTCGATCGTCGCATTGGAATCCATTAATTTTTCAGTTAAGCCAACTGGCTCAAAGTTGTTCATCTTTCCCGCAGCACTGCCTTCGTAAGCGCGTCCATGCTCTTGGCAAGCCCTACGACTTTAGGTTCCCAAGTTCATTTTTCAGAAGTGCCTTACCTCAGAACTTTTTGTATTTAAACATCGTTGTCCGTTTTGGGGTCGTTACTTAGTAAGCAAATTGTCGGCGATCGAAAATCTCTCCTGTCGGCGATCGAATTCAGGTATGCATATTCAAATGCAAGCTTGCAACGAAGCATAGTGGTTTGTTAATAAATTCCCGGATGTAAAAGAGTAAACATTACTAATAAAGGATATCTCAACATCCAATCCATTAAGGATTGGATGTTGAGATATCATAAAGATATCTTAACATCCAAAAAATGACTTAGTTTTTGAATGCTGGTGACTTTGGTCCGATGAAGTTCCATTCCACTCGACTACAGAATACTTAGTCCACTAGTCATGAACTTTACTATCTAATAAGCCTGTTGCAAATAAGTGATAATTTTTTCCATTCGCTCAAGGATGTTGGCGTTAGGAGACCTCATACTTTCTTCAACATTGATTAATATTTCTTTAAAAGATTTATGCATTCAATCTAAAGTCATAATTCTATTTATTTAATCTTCAGAGAACATAGCAATTATTAACGATAATCAAAAAGATTAATAGTATTTTGGGGTTTCGTGTAAATTATCCATGTCAACAACATCACTGAGGTTAAATGGTTCGATTCACACTTCAAAGAAGTTTCCAACGACGTAGAATCTGATCACCGCTGGCGTCCCCGTCGCAACCATGATACACGACTAATGCGCGTTGTCTTGCTCATCACCGAGCCGGTTGAGCTCAGTGAGCTTTTCCAGTAACGTAATTTAGCCACTCGGCTGGAGCGTTCGACTCGAGTCGTGTTCATGCAAGGGCT